AGGTTATCATATGGTGTATTTTATTAATACCCTTTTCTAAAAGAGGGTATGTAAGTAAATAAATGGGTGTAAAAGCATAGGGAAATTTACTCATTTAAACTGGTCTTTTAACTAATTTTTTTTAAATTTATCTAAATGTTATTATATCTGTAATATTCATATTTGTGATCTGCAATATTTATCCATATGTTATTATGTCTGTAATATCTATGTTGACAATATTACAAACATGACTAAAAGACAATTTTTTTTTAATTCCATCAGGTTAGCAAGTAGCACCAGCATAATTGCATACATGAGTTGAGGGTGATAATATTTTTCCTGTTTCTTAGCCAGGTTCGCAATATTGTAGACATGGATATTGCGGATGTAGTGATATTCGGGTTACCCAAGAGATGAATGACTAGGAGACCAATTTGAATGAGTGGAACAACTATTTGAGTTAATTTCCCAAAAGCATATCCAATATATTATTTATACTTTCTCTAAAATAGAAAAGTAAAAAAAAAAAAAACAAAATCTTTAAAACGATTTATATTTAATTCCAACAGATTCTCTAATTTAGAGATTTCAACTTTCATTATATTATCAAAATATTCTATAATTTTACCAGCTCAATATATATTTTTTAAATTACATAAAATAATAATAGTTCAGTTTCATCAATAGAATTCAATAAAAAAAATTAATTTCTTTCTCCACATTACAAGTTTTAGATAATTATCTGAGTTTTATCTACTTTAAAGAACAATATAAAAAATCTATTATTGTAACTTTTTTTTAATTAACCTGAATATCCAACCCGCTATGCGAGCCGACTAATTCCAAGACGACCACCTGTAGTAGCCCGAAGTCACCGTATTTGAACCTCCCTGGCCACAAAGAGATATTTATTTCTCATTGCATTTAAACCTAGGACCTCCAGACACTTTTGATATTTGGAGCCCAAACTCAAACCAATCAGACATCATCCTCATGATTATTGCTATAACTTTATTCTAGAGAATATGTTAAAGATACTCCGAACAAGGAATGAGTATAAAAAAACACCCCCTAAATATTATATTTATTTTAAAATACTTTTAATTGGAATATATGAATTAATTTATTAGAAAGAAATGATATTTTTGTTTTAGAAAAAGTGCAGGAAGAAAAAGGCAGGGGTGGTCCAAAAGCAGTCAACTAGAATTAGGTCAACCTTCCTTCCATGACCCACTTGCTTTTTTGTAATCAAAGATGCCTTCTTGTTTCATTTCTTTATTATTTTTTTATTTGGGTTTTTTAAATTCAAAAATATTTAATAAAAAAGATAATCTTTGTTTTTTTCTTAAATAAATATCACATTTTCTGATTCCTTTTTTTTTCCATTTTCTCTACACATCATCAATTATCAGTATTATTTGTTATCGAACAAAATAATACCTATTTTAACTTGATTTTTATTTTGATCAACTGAGTTTCATATGAATTTTGGTCAAATTATTTTCAAAGTAAAAAAATGAATATGTGATCATTTTTTTAATCTGTATTTAGTTATGAAAAAAACATGTAAATCATAACTAAGACAACAACTTATTGACTTATTCCGATGTGGCGTCGGTAATAAGTACTTTTGGATGTTTGGATAAACAACTTATACCGGTGTCAAACCGGTAATAAGAAGTTTTTGAAGAAGTTAAACTTTCTGACTTATAATAAGTTGATAAGTGTTTTTGTAGAAAAACATAAGTTGTTTCAAATAAGCAATCCCAAACACCCCCCTAAGCTTAAATATCACTAAACCTCGTAACATAACACCTATTGATCTATTTATGATTCTTGTTGAGTAAATACAGGTTGAGTTTATATTAATTAAACATTAATTTCATATATTATTATATTTAAACTAAGATTGGTGATAAGAAGATGCCAAGAAAAAAAATATGAACTTAAATTTAAGAACAAACTCAAGAACAAGAGATGATATATGGCAACCAAGTATACATTTCGACTTCTGTCGCCATTTTGACTTTGTTGATTCTGCTATTCGAATTCAAACCCAGATTCACATACCCATTTAAAAACGGGTTTGAAACGATATTAAAATATTACAGATTCAGATTTCGGATTTTTATTGATTAATTAAACAAAAAAGTGAAAAAAGAAATGAAAGGGGAAAGAAATAGTAGCATGATCACATGACAAGGTGATAACAATGGGTTGGGAGTTTCCAAATTCTTAAAGGAAGGACCACAAGGTTCTTACCATATAAATTTACAAATGGTCCCATTTGACCTCAACCTCCATATGGTCAAAGGATCTCCAAACACTCAATTTACCCTCCTTTTGCTCAAATTTTGTCCCCATAATTAAGCAAACCAACAAAAGGACTCTTATACATTTTGTTAGTATGTGAGGGTTTGAGAAAATGAGAGGTCATTGCTCTCATCCTTCATTCATAAGTGGTCCAAATTGACCATCGTAAAAAATTCATAGATTCTTGATATTACCTTGTACTTTCAAGAAAATGTTGTGGTTCTTTAGAGTCACGAAAGGTTAACGTGAAAGCTGTTTATAGCAAATTATAAGTTGTTTAACCACAAGGGTGGTGCCTGATTGGTTTAAGTTTGACTCCAAAGGTTAAAAATACCTGGAGGTCCCATGTTCAAATCCAAGGAAGAATAAAAATCCCCTTGTGGCCACGGAGGTTCAAATACGGTGACTCCGGGCTATCTGCAAAGCAGGTGGTCGTTCTAGGATTAGTCCGCTCGCATAGCGGGTTGGATATACAGGTCAATAAAAAAAATTATATTCGTTTATAATATATATATAGATAAACCTGGATATCCAACCCGTTATGCGAGCCGACTAATCCCAGGATGACCACCTGCTTTGCAGATAGCCCGGAATCACCGCATTTGAACCTCCATGGCCACAAGGGGATTTTTATTCTTCCTTGGATTTGAACCTGAAACCACCTGATACTTTTGATCTTTGGAGCCAAACTCAAACCAATCAGACACCACCCTTGTGGTTTATTCGGTTTTATATGGTGTTAATGAAAACGGTTTTATTTGATTAATAGTTCTCTAAACCAACGAGTTGAAGTTTTGTAATTTGGGACAAAAATGTGTTCCTTTGAAGCTATACAAATGCATGTGGTAGTGTTATGGAACTTCAATAAATTACGTTGGAGAAATCAAAACTTTACTGTAAGGGATTGTAAATCAGTTATTTACTTATTTCTAGAAATAAGCCACTGTCGAGGCATTATATGAGATTCTAATTTTATTTGAAACAATATAAATATAAATTGTCATCATCGTAGTGCTTGAAATGATCAAATTGTGGTCCAACGTATCATGGTTAGATCCTTTTTCATAACACTTATTTAGAACAAGACAAGATACTAACAGGTGAATACGTTCACCTCAATTTTGAACTATGTTTCGCTTAATCTACAACGTCGAGAATTTTCAGTTTGATATCTTTCATGTTATTTTATTTTATAGAATTTCATTAGGCTGTACATGTTAAGTATAACTGTACTTGAGATTTTTCTATTTTTTTCATTGATAAAAGATCAGTTTATGCATTTTTAAGCAGATTAAACTCGCCATTTTTTGTGTTAAGCACGCCATGAAATCAGATAACAATTTCTAGATGTAAAACATGCTAACTAAGCAAAACAAGTACATTTCAAAAAGAAAAATAAATATTAACACGAATTTTGATTTACGCATGTAGTAGATCAGTAATGAGTAATGATTACTAAAAAAACAATCATTTAACTGAGATATTAAATGAGTGTTTGGTTGGGGTAATAGGGGAGAAGGATGAAAATGAAAATTATCAATAGTATATTGTCTCAAGTAATGGAATATGCTATTACTGAGGGGTCGTTTACCGAATACTTAATAGGTAAGCATTTATCGTCAAGAATCACCACTCTTAGCTAATGGGGTAACATTCATGGTCATCAAAATGAATTAACGTAAGCGTTTATAACACGGTAATTTCTTACCGGGTAAGACTCTTAATCATTTCCTTCCCTCTTACAGGGCAAGATTTTCGCATCGGTTTTTATTATGTTCATCCAGTAAGGTAATTGAACCGGTAAAAGATAAATGTTCAGTAAATGACCCATTGTATATCATTAATAATATATGGTTTGATGTAATAAAATATGTCATTATAAGATACGTGTAATGAAATATTTATCAACAAATTGAAGTAGCAAATAGTACTCATTCTTATCTCTATTTCTCAACATTTTCATTCTTTAAAACAAACCAAACGATCCCCTTAAACTACTAAATCATAAATTTATAAGTGCCACTCAAACCATGATCAAATTCATTGTAATTCCTTTCAAAAAGTACAAACATGAAGAAAAAAAAAACAGTGATTGTGACGTAATGATTGAGACCCAAACGATCCCCTTAAACTACTAAATCATAAATTTATAAGTGCCACTCAAACCATGATCAAATTCATTGTAATTCCTTTCAAAAAGTACAAACATGAAGAAAAAAACAGTGATTGTGACGTAATGATTGAGACCCAAGAGATGTGGTGGAATGTCCCATCTGTCCAGGGTTTTTTTAGACGTCCATAACAATTGTAGTCATTGAGTTTATCAAAACTAATATATTACAGTTGCATTTTATCATATGATATAATCAAGACATAGCCTAAAACACCCCAAAAGAAGAATATAAGAACCATGCGATTGGCCATCTTCTGCAACATATAAATAGAATGCTCATATTTATTCCAAAAGTAATTATTTGACATATTTAGAGGGTTTTTTATACTATGAATTTGTCTACATCCTCGTGGTTTACAATTTTATTGTTGTCTTCATTCTTGTGATTTACAATTCAGTATTGTTTTCAAAAACTTATCACATAAACAAAAATAACAGTAAATTATAAGCCACAAGAACGTTTTTTGGAACCCCAAATACGAGTCATAATTTTTTACCATCCATCATGACCCTCTTGTACAGGTGACACATAAATGTCATATTATGTCAATGGGGGTACTTCATTTCCCACATCCCAAAAGCTCATTTGCCATGCTCATCCCAAAAGCTTCAGTTCTCTAGAAATTGGTCTTTTAGAAGTAATCCAAATCCTACTTAATTTGTTGGCCATACCATTGAAGCAAGTAACTACTGACATTAATTATGTACAAAAGATTCATCTACCTGCTCTGCTTCTAATGGAACATCATTCCTAATTAACCACCCACTCATTTAGTAGTCGATTGCCTAGAATATTAGAATCTGGCAACCATTTTGCTTCAAGATGATCAAAAAACATTCAAATCGCCTCGCAGCCCATCCACCGGCAAAAATTAACTGCTTCAAACCAATACTTGGGGACTATAATATCCCCAACATTTCACGCGCATCATCACAAATGCTTTATCCCAATTGGGATTGCTCCAAAGATGAGAGCTTCCCTTTCATTTACCTTAGTTGTGATTCTTCTTGCTTTTCTTCAGCATCATCGACAAGTTATCAATTGAATCACGGGCTGCATTTTTGCCGCCCATGAGCTGCTCTAAAGCCTCTGCAGCAGCATCCTTTTCTGCTTGTTTCTTGTTGTGACAAGGATGGCCCATAATCTGCATGCCATTGAATTCACAAATCGATCTAAACTGGTTGTTTGACAATTGGTTGGTCCTGTAGATTGGGGCGGCATAACCAGCCCTGCTAAGTAATGTTTGGAGTTGACTCTTGGAGTTATCCCCGCCTGGTCCACTTTCTACCCGGGAAACTAGTGGTGGTGGTGGTGGCACTGATGCAATATAAGGTTTTGAATTACTATATAGCACCTGATGGTTGAATACAAATCTGCCGTTACATTGATCTCCAGGGAGCAGCAAGCGCACGGCAGATAAAAGATCATGGTGGGTGTGCAAGTCCATTCTGGGATTCATCAGCTGATCCATAAAAAAGCTGAAATCATTAGACATAACAGACAAAATATACAAAATTCTATAGTTTATCAAGCATAAAGCATCATTGGGGTGAAGACAAAGGATTGTGTGAGAATAAGAGTTAAGGTGAGAAGCGTAAGAAGGAATTTGGACCCTTAATCACTTTTAATCTCAAACGAACCCATGAATTGCGCTTTAGAAGGGAACTGATCCAGTGCTTCTCATTAGTGTTGATCTAGTGGAACTCTTCAATTAGGATTGATCCAAGGGTGGAGATCCTTGTTACCCTTCTCAACGTGACTCTCATTCTCACCAGAACCTAACCCTTGGGGTGAAAGCATCAAAGACATAATGTAAATAAGCATGGACATACAAAAATACAAATAATGCTCTTGGGTACTAAGGGTTGGGTTCCAGCGAGAACAACCTATTCTCGTGAGAACGTGAAAAAAGTGAAGGCATCAATGTATCATTGTACTGTGTGAAGGTTTGTTGTGAGAATTGTGAAATACATTTATACCGTGTGAAGTTTTGTCGTGAGAGCTGTGAAATGCATTTATATTGTATGATGGTTACAAAATTCACACAATATAACCTCCCAATACACAGTTGAAGGTGATGTGAAAGTTACAATCTTCACACAATATAACATAATATTCACACAATACGGTTTACACATGTGAGTACAAGTAATTTACAAGTAATTTTTCCAGTATGCACATGTGCATAACATGCACACATGCATAGAAACCAGAAAACATCTTCAATTACTTGTATGCACATGTGCATACTGCACAGATGAATGGTTATTAGAGTGTTCCTTAATTTTTCCTTCTTTGGGGGTTTTCCCTTGAACTTCACTCTTCACACAATATACAGGTATCTTCACTTGTTCTTGCCTTACAAAAGTGAACATTTCTCACACGATCCTGAATGTAGTTACTAATGCATAAACTTTTAAACCATCTCGGTTGTGACCTATGGTAGATGTAAATACTATGGACTTTACAAGTACCCTAGTTTAACTCTTGTTCACTTCCTTTCTTCCATTGTCTTCCTTTCTCTGTAAAGCCTAAACCTAAGTAGCTGGATAGTTCCGTGATTAATCTTAAAGAGTTCCAGAAATGTGTACAAGTGAACAAAAAATAATGGAGAATAAAGAAGTACGCACTTTACACTGAAATAATTCATCAAGCTCACGTCTTAAGCTTTGATACATTTCTGCTAATGCAGGCTCCATAAAGAACTCCAGGTATCCTCCTAACATTTTCAAGTGGCCATCCTGTTTGATAGAATGATGAATTAATAGGTTATATTCAGAGAGCATAAACCTCAAGAAAAAGGGGGGGAAGATGACTCACAATATCGCCTCTCAAAATGCTTCCACCAAAGAGGAGCAGCACTGAATCAGACACAGCTGTTGAATCTCGAAGAAAAATGGAGTTCACTTTGATCTTTTCATTGAAGACCAGCCATGGGTATGGAATTTTAGAATCACGTGCATTAACCGAGTTCTATAGATGAAATAAAAAGCATATAAAGTTACAGGTCATGGTGCACATATTTGACTGCATTCAAATGAAATAAACAAACAAGTGACGAAAAAACTACTAGACGGACGAACTTACAGAGTGTAGAAGCACCTGACCATCCTCCATTGTTTTCAGTGAGAATGACTTCTCGTTGTGCTGCAAGTAAGTTGATGTTGCCAGAGGTGAATTTAATGAAATGATAAATATGTGAAGTAATATCAATTACCATAAACAAATTAAGACGGCCTTTCCTAGACCGGTTAAAAAGATACAAGTTCAATATAATAAAGAAACAGTTTCACATACGTAAGTACTGTGTTTGCATCCATTATTTCACCAGAATGTCATACTGATATGAGAAGAAAAATAAAAAGCAGTTCCGTAATATAATTTTACGATAACTTTGGGTACATCATCAAAGAAATTTTACATATACAGATTACCCCAACCCCTATTGATTCCGATTAACCTGTCATCCTTCCGGCTAACAGAATGATCAATAGAAATCAAAATGTACTTCAGCAAATACAAGGAGTTTAGCTGAAACATAATCCAGAAGCCAGCATGCTCTGAGCTCGCATCATGGAACCAAAATCGAAAGGTCGTCTTCTTCACTCAGTCCACATCAATTACGCTTTCCATTACCACTCAATGATTACAGTGCCCAATACCACGAGCACTTTTCAGCCGGAAATGGTAGTTGAGATGGCCACTGAGTGTCACTTCAGGGAATGCTCTAAATGTCAGCTTTGTATGGTACAAGGCATCTATATGCATCTCCAAACATACCACTCATCATGTTTAATTCTATTTTCAGAGCATATGCCAACCAATATCTAGGTTTCTTGAACATATCGTGAACATATGATGGGATGAAAGTAAAATATATGCTTCAATCGAAAAACAATCAATACTACTTTGTAGTAATAGAACATTTCAAGAATTAGAGAGGAGATAAACATAAGAAAAGAGTAAATGAGAAATAGTAGATAAATATGAGAACTTGAGAGAGACATAGCAGAAGGATGCAATTACTTGTTGATGGAAAACAAAACAGCTGCAAAACAATGTCCTGTAATGCTGTGTGCATTTAGGTGCATTAGCAGCTGTTTTCTAAGCATCATCAATTACTATGTTAATCAATCGAACAAAATTAATGCAGGTATTTAAGTACTTTGGTTGCAGTAATTGTTGTAGGTCAAGTATGCAAGTGACAATGTAATTTATATTTTAGTATCAAACTAGAAGAAACCAGCAAAGTTCATGACTACATCATCTATTTTGCCTTGAGCCGAACATGGCTTACCACGACAGAGCAAATTCCTGGATACAATCCGTAGCAGATAACTGCCCGAAGGAGATTCTCATCATAGCTCCAAGTGTTGTAAATGGGTGTGTTGCTGTCGATAAGACCGGTATCCTTGAGCAACGATTGAAATTCCCTACGGAGAGAATCAATAGCTTTCATTGACTGTGCGGAGAGAAAATTTTTCCAACAGTATTCGTAACCAGTAAGACCATATTCAGCTACTTTCCAACCCTCATACGCCCTGACAAGAGCAAGATGGTCACTGTAATCACAGGAAAATTGTGCTTTCGCTGCCTCTGCCAACTGTAAAAAGAAAAAGAATCACATAGATGAATCAGAATGATTTCTTTCCTTTCCTAAAATAATATCCAAATTCAAATGGCATCCTTCTTCCACTGTCTGGCCCCCCTTCCCTATTAGGATAGGGTTACACCAAGAGCCAGCATCCAGTCCTTATATTTTGGCTTTAGTTATGGATGACCTCAAAAAGGAATGCAAAATGATATACCAAGTGCATGCTTTTCTCCAATGGTATCATGTTGATGACAAGTCTAGGCAACGTGTTAAATAAATATTTGTGCATACAGAAACTATCTTGGAATCTAAGAGTTTAAGATTAAGCCGGACCAAAAAGAATAAATGAAGTGCAACATTATGGTGCAGATAAAGGAGCAGAAGATGTCGTAAGCCTGTCCAAATATGAAGTAGTTAGGAAATTTATCTTCCTTTATTTGATATAGTAGTACATAAGGATGAAGAGACCAAGGGGGTAATATTCGATGGTTCATAAGGACAAAATGGAAACACGTTTCGGGAGCCTTGTGTTCAGAATGCCATTTAAGCTCAAGGGTTGGGTTACGATGAGAATGGAAGTTATGGTGAGGAGGGTAAGAAGCCATCATCACCCTTGGATCAATCCTAATTGAAGATCAACAATAATGCAGTGCACCAGGATGCAACGGATCAATTCCCGTGAGAAGCGCAATTCACGGGGTGGGGGTGAGATTAAAAGTGATCAAGGGTCCAGATCCCTTCTTACGCTTCTCACCTTAACTTCTATTCTCACACGATCCTTTGTCTTAACCTCAAAAGGTTAGCTCTATATGACAGCAATAAGACTTGTTAAGAATTATGGGACAGAATGTTGGCACAGATAGACAAGACGTATCTAGCAAAATGCGAAAATTGAGGTGGACATACAGCCTCGAAATATACAGAAGATTTGTGTTGCATCTATAGATAACTGAGCATGTCTGCTTCTTCTAGAAGAAGAGACTGGTAACAAGAGGTCGTTGAAAGAGGCAAAAGTTGACTAAGATCACACATGGACAAGTAGGAAAGGATTTGAATGGATGCAATATACTGAAGCAGTTGGCTATAGGTACGCGTGCAACAAAGGATGTTATTCATGTCCTGCAACCCTGTGGGTTTCAGATATTAATATTTCTGTTTGTTTTCCATCTTTAGTCAGTCCCAATTATTTTCATGTTGGTGTGGCATATATCAAGATCTAAAAGATTTGTTGATGTTGGTGTAGCATATATCAAGATCAAAAGATTTTCACTGTTCCACAGTAGACATAATAAAGAAACGATCTATCAACTTCCTATTTCACAAGAGTAAACCACCAACCCTATTAGTCCAGCATCACATTTCATAATACTGAAAAGGCATCACATTCTCCTCCTATTATATTTGTTTATTTATAATAATAACTCCCCTCACAAACTAATCTGGTTTGTATAAACCTTTGTCTTCTTGCAACAGGTATCTCTAACATAATTTTTGAAGGCACTACACCTTTTAATTCAAATAGAAAGGTTTTTCTCTGTGACAATTATGACAAAACAACCAAAGGGCCCAGCGGTATCCGGTAACCCAGCCTTTCTAAAGGTCAAGGGTTTCAACCTCACCAAGGCGAGGTGTGTTTGTGTGAGTTCCATTTGTCATATATAATAAATATTATAAACTTAAAAGATTACTACGACAAAGCAGTATGTTAATCAAAGGAAATTGCAGAGAAGAAAATAGAACAAGTAGTAGCTAAAGGGTAGTTGCAAGATTCAGCATGAAGGTTAAATGCTTGGTCATATCAAAAAATCATGAAGATGATATTTACAGACTATAGACTGCAAGATCAAAGGGGAGAACAACGATTCTCTTCAAGACTAACATTCTAAAATGACAATAGTTCGATAATTTTCTGCAATACTGAATGATTAGAAAGAGATTATAGCCCCTAGGACATAATTGTCAAACTGCTATTCATAATATCAGTACACCTAAAGCATCTTCTGCCTGAGGAGAAGGATAACCTTTTGTATAACTACACAAGTAGCAGCCTTCCCTATTTTAAGCCATTCAAAAAAAAATGTGCAGACAGAGAAAATTGTTTTTATGAAGCAGATTGAACAACCAAAATAAACCTCACATAATCGCAAAACACCATGACATCTTCACATTTTAGGACATGAAAAAATACAGGCTGTTGAAAGCAACAGTGCAGATGTGACAGTAAAGAATAGCAAGCAGCAGAAATCCTCTGAAGATTCTATTCCTTGCCCATAAAATGAATAGGGTGGCTCCCGACATAGCAATGATACAACCATACAACGGGTGTGTATCGAAGTAAAAACCATACAAGTATTCCAGGGAAAAAGAAAGGTGACTCACATCCTTCTTGTCTAGAGGTGCCAAAAAAGGATCTCTGACACTAAGACCAGCAACAACTGTCAGTATAGGGTCCAGGCAATAAAGAATCGCACCCAGTATAAGCATCTTTCCAAGTTTGGGCTCCACCGGAAGCATTGTCAAATAACGACCTGTCAAGGCCTCAAATACAGGTTAAATTACCGAAACTACACCACCTCAATATCAGAATGGAGCATACAAAAATCCACATACCCAATACAGTCAGATTTTCACTCTCATCTAAAGCACCAATAATCTTGAGATACTCGATGGCATTTTGAACCTACAAACGACCAATAACCAAACAATTATTGATAGGTGAAGAAAGTGGATATGATGTACTTCATAATGTTTAGACAATACTTTGAAATATGAGGCTGAGCTTTACCGCTAATAACTCAGGTGACTGTAAAGCCTTAGATAAGAATTCAGAAATACTTCCTAATTTTAAACTTTTAATTTGGAGACACAGTGATTGCAGAGGCGTCCTCAGTATTTCTGCCAATTGATAATCTGCAAAAGCATCATAGACACATCTAGGATATAGATGGTAACACTCTCCTGGTTGAACACGACCGGCTCGTCCTCGCCTCTGTATATCCAGTAGAGAAAAAAGAAATCAATGCACTCGTATCAATCACTTCAGTGTTTATAGAAGCAATACGAATAGCCCAAGTGCTGAAACAAGCAAACATGTTTCTATTAGTCTTATCAAAAGAACATGCTTCTGTAGGAAATGAAACCACTATTGGGTTCCAACTACAATAGCCACACAGAGGTAACTCAGTTTACATGAGCAAACAATGTAAATTGAGGAACTAAACGCCTCAAGTCTAGTTGCAAAATGTCCTGAACCGATAGAATCTAGGATAGGAAAAAGTAAATAATCAATAGTGCCCTCAAAGTTTTTGATAGCCAAAGCATCATTCACTTAAACCACAATCTAAATTCTTACATAAACAGATAAATACAAAATTCATCCAGTAACTGATATCAGGCAGTATAAAAAACCAAGATTATTCGAAATTCTGAAGTAGAGAAGATATCAAGGAACAGGTATATTACTGAAGGTCGTACTAGCAGAAGTGCAGAACAGATCATAGTAGCTAATACAGTCAAATACTCAAAGAATAAAAAGTTGTTCTTGAACTACCAAATCATAAAATCTCATAAGTATTCTTGTAATATATTCTGGTCCGGTTGAGGTATGATGCCTAATAGAAAATCAACAACGAATCCAAGTTCTTCTCTGCGCATCACTAAGATCTGAAGCAAAAAAGAAACTTACTTGTTTAGCAGAACCCTTAGATATCCATGAAGGAAGCAGGCAAGGGGTATTGTTTAGAGCATCATACGATGTCTCTTTGGCCTTTCCACAGTCGATAACAAAAACCACATCATCTATTGTGATACTGGTTTCTGCCATATTTGTAGCCAAAACTATTTTCCTCACCCCAGCTTCTGGCCTTTCGAATATTAACCTCTGTAAGCATAGCAGGAAAAAAGATATGAAAAACCTTCAAATTACGAATCTCAAAGAAAATAGATGAGATTTTTACCTCGAAGAGGCAATTAAACATCACTACATCCAACAATAGTCACAAGGTTATCGCTTTAAAGTTTACTTGATCAAACAAACCAACTACAGATAGTCCAATTATAAACTTTTTAGTTTTTAAACCACAAATTTATGGTTAGATGAATACTTTATACCATCTTTCAGGTTATGATTCCACTCTCCGTACACCAAAATTCATGTGAACTATCAATTAAGAAAGCAGAAAAGGTCAAATTTAGTGCTAAAGAGGAAAACATTGAAGAAACAAACGAGTTCCATGTTTTTGAATTAGGTAAGCTAATGTTGAAGATGACAAAATTCTCAAGGCCTACTTCTGCAAAATCTTTATGGCTCTCTTCCTTAAAAATTTAAAAGGACAGCAGACTTGGAAAAGCAAAGCTGTCAATAGACCAAAGCCTCGTACTTCCTAATCCATTCCGACTATCTGTGTGATTTGCTTTGCAGCTAGTCTTGATCTTCTGGTTCGACAGTACTTTCTGAAGTAAATTACAAAAACTGTACCTCGGACTGTCCACCAAATCCTAATTTTGACATTTTTGGTCTACAACAGAATTTTCCAAATGCATTGGTCCCTCCCTCAATCAACAGTAACCAAACACCATTAAAAAGGTCATGTGCCAAGTGCCATTCACATGACTTGCATTTAGGGACAAACATTAATTTAATAAAATGTCAATAAATAAATCCCTCATACCTTACCTTCATCTTGCCCCATCAAATCTGCCCACCCCCTTCAACCCTTTCCTTTCCCAGGCACTCTTTTCTTTCCCCTTCTTACCCATGACGAAGAAAACAGGAAGACGCATATTGGTTTCAATTATCATTTCACTTATGTATTTCAATTTTCAATTTTTAATTCTAATTACATCTTTTGACTTCAATTTCAGTATTGTTAGTCTTGTTTCCGCCTGTGTGATTGCAGGCAATGAGGTTGAGAATTTTGTCCCTTAAATGTAAATCACTAATCTGGTCAATTTTTCCTTCTACAGTCCACTGTTGTGCTCACATAGTGACACTGTGTAACTCTACCTCAAGCCTCGCATCCATTGCTGCTTCTATGCAAAATCAAGGCCCAATACTGTTGGCCATGATTGGTCTTTTTTCTGGTTGATTTTCTTCCAAGCAATTCTCAGCTAATTCTACTAACACTTTATTCTTCAAGGCAAAGGGATGATATTAGAAGCTAACATGACACACAACATTGCAGGCAATGTGTATGCCTCTATGTGTATGTTTCAGCCTTAGTGTATGTCTGTATGCCATTCCCTGAATTGCTTGTTATTTGTAGTTACAATGACATCAAACTGGTACAGCTCATCTGTTAATTCTTAATTTAGGTTTTTGAATTTAATCTCAGTTGGCTTTCCTGGAATTCTATTGGTTAGTATTTGATCTTATGTTTTTTAATTGTCGTCAATGAAATTAGCCATAGGCATTACCAAGTCCCACACTATCAAATAGTTACAAACTCAAGTATACCCCCAAACATTAGGAGTCTAATCTCCACAGATAAGCTTGGGAAATTGGAGCGAATGAAAGTGAATGTTGTCTCTGTGGTTGAGCATTCCAGATGAAATAATGATGCCAACAAGCTCAAAGTTTCCAATGGGGGAAGTAGTGGAAGAAATAGAACCAACAGGAGGAAAGAAGAGAATGGTTGTACAATACATGGTGGGGAGAGAGAAGGGAGAGTGGTTGTAGAATACAGGCGATAGGCAGGAAGAAGAGAGTGGTTGAAGAATACAGGGGTAGGGAGGGAGAAGTGGAGCTGTGTGTGTAGAGAAGGGGTTGAGGCGAGGGAGGGGAGAAGGAAGGGGAGTAGAGGGGTTAGGCCATCCTTAGGAAAAGTAAATAATATATGTGTAACTAACATGGTTTTAAAAATCCTTTGAGGTGTACACCTCGAGGCGAGGTGGCCAGAAAGCCTAATGAGGTGGTGCCTCTGCTGGGCTATTTGGGTCATATGCCCTGCAACACTGAGGTGGCGAGGCGGGGGGCTGAAGCGTTAGGGTAAAAATAACCCAAGATTTATAGAATAGCTCACTTTCTCCCTCACGTTTTCCCTCTGCTTGTAACTCTCCCCCTCACATTTCCCTCTCCCCGTCTGCTTTCTCCTCCAGTTCTCCCATCTGTCCCAGTCGTGCCCTAGGCCCTCCTTTTCCCTCTGCTAGTTTGCCCTCCTCCAGTTGCGACCTAGGCACTCCTCCCTCTGCTTGTACATTCTCATGCAGATTGAAAAGCTCCCTAGGCTAGTATACCCTCCTCCAGTCACGAGCTAGGCATTGCGACTTTGCTGCTTCTCTATATATGTGACTTTAATTTGCTTGTTAATGTAAAATAAATCAAATCTTCAAATAATAATTACATATTTACATATATTAATATATCATGAAACTTTACTAACAGTATTATGATTTTAAAATACTATTATCAGATATATCCTCGCCAGAGAGATTACCGTTGGCAATGCAGGCAGCAAGAAAACTAACTTAAAAGAGCCTCTCCAAATAGTAGTCAAACTCAAACTCACACTCAAAACTCATGTGCCTCGTAAAACCAGCACGAACTAATTAACTCACAGCTCACATATTACATGCCACAGGTTGTATACATCATGATTAACAAGAAGACTTTTGCAGCAAACTAGACTGGGACTTGAAGTTGCATAACCCCTGCTGAAGGGTAGAAGCCACGAGAAACATCCTTCCATGCTCTCCTATCTAATGCCTACTCCTTTGATAGTGCAAACTATAAAGTTGAGGTGGAGAAACTGTGATAATCTACACAGAAGGCTAAAGACCTATGTGTCCCACTAATACAGCCAAACTGGACATAAAGAAACTGTCGAACTGCAATGAAGGTAGAAGTGAAAATCTTCTGCATCCGACATGGAAGATAATAAATAAGTAGCTCCAATTGTATAAACAACAAAATGTAACTATAACTCAGCTTCGTCCATTTATTATTCTTGAGTCTGCATCCAGGGTTATATTTGCTTTAAACACAATTTTTTGGTACCTCCACCGACTTTGTAAAACCCAATAAAAAAAATTAAGAAGTCCAATTAAAAGGTAATAAGCAAATGCAACACTCATTAAAAACTATAAAAATGAACACATGACTACCTGCTCCGAGCTGCCCATAGAACCATGGCATGCAAGCAACAAAACTCGACTTGGATCCCCCAGTAGAGGATGTGCTTGTAGCTTGTCCTTCAGAGAACTTATGTCATCCCACCCGGTCATAAATACTAAAATAGCACCAGGATTTTCATTCTCACACATACTGCATAGTAAGAATTCTATGAGGTTGAAACCTATGCAGTCGGGATTCCAACAAGACATAGATTCCTGTGTCTGTTGGCTGAATTCCTTAAAATCAGCCGATCCAAGTGCCTCCTATTTTCGTTTTCAAAATAAAGCATCAGAAACACAAGCACATGAAAGAATGAAATGCTTTCGAATAAAATCATATACCTCAACAGCTGAGGCAATTTGGCTTTTCCTCTTTCTTATAACTTGTTTATTAGATTTCCATGTTCTATCCTGACCATAATCATCAATTTGATTTTCTGCTGTTAATCTGTATCCGGTTTTTTCCAGAACATCTTCAAGAAAATAGGTATGAACTGGGTGCGTGAAACCCTACAGGCAATGAGATAAGAACTCAGTTACAAGAGCAAAATTATCTCACCCTAGATCTTAATATTAAAGTAAAGACTTGGTAGAACATAAGACTGAACCAATGGGTCATATAGGTTAGACACAATTAGATCATTGAATAGTTATTACTGGGATACAACACCACAGATCAAACCTTTCACAGCCTCTAAAATTCAGAGACTTGTGCCCCAGGGCCTCCTCTCAGCTTCTCTTATTCATACCAACGCAATAATAAAGGGGACAACAGACATAATAGTAACAGCGCAATATTCCTTTGTTCTTGAAGCCAATAAGTTTTCTTTAACATGTTAGCCATCATTCAAATAAACATCAGCAGAATCAAGCTCATAATAGATGCTAATGCCTTTGTATTTAACCAGTATTGTACTTACTGGTATGTGATTACGAAATAAATGGAAGCAATTCAATATTTCAAGTTAGGGGGTGATTCTCCCTTATGATCCTAGTTCTTCATTTATTAGTAACCAAACCCAACAAGCCTCGCATGTTATACCCGGAAGTGGGGTGGGGGTGGGATGTACCCTGACCTGGCTTCTACCGCAATGAGCAGAGCGACTGTTTCGGTAAGGACCCCCCAGCTTGTGCAAAGTGTAGTTCTTCATCTTTTAGAACAACCTTATATAATAGACAGAAACTCGTCCCTTCGTCAAATCAAATGGATGTAATATTTTACCACCACATATAGTATTTGAGGAGTCTAAGTTTGTAAATTCAGAGAGAAAAGCCATACAAGCTCAAATAATGGATTTGAAACAACTCTTTCCATAAGTGCCTGACTCATGCCTTACACTATGCATATACTTGATGAGAGCTAAATATGCAGACAAAAACCATGCACTACCGGAATCTGGACCAATGGAACACCACCAAAGTAGGAAGAAAAGAGCTCTGCATCCAGGGTTGCACTCATCAAAATAAGCCTCAGTTCTGGCCGACGAGGAAGTAGTTCTTTCAGAACAATGAGCAGAAAATCTGTCAGCAAGCAAGCATTTTAACACTTCATTTCAATTTTCACATCCAGAATTATAAATTTGTAAAAACTCACTTACCTTCATTCATGCCACGCTCATGAATCTCATCTACAAGAACATGAGTCACACCCTTCAAGTTTCTATCAACTAGTAATTTTCTCAACAAAATTCCTGTGGTGCAGAATAGCAGGCGGGTATCTCTTCCTTTTATACCCTCTAACCGAACTCTATATCCAACCTTCAAGAAAAAAGAATAGGTTTAAAGAATATAATGACAATGTCAATGTGCATTGAAGATCCCCAGCATGGTAAAACTTACAGTTTCACCCAACTTCTCTCCTCTTTCACTGGCAATTCTTTCGGAAACAGACATCGCAGATATACGTCGAGGCTGAGTACATATGATACTACATGTGGCCCCACGACCAGAATTAATCTCTGATTCTAAAATGAACTGGGGAATCTGCGTTGTCTTCCCACAACCAGTTTCACCTGAGATGATAACAACCTATAAAAAGTATATATTATTTCAATATGCATCAAGATCGTCTTATGAAGACGATGACATTAAAATTTCTTGTAGTTGCTAAGCTGTCAATAACATATTTTCATTTAAGTCAAAGACCTTCCAGCCTAGTGGTAAAGGCTTGGGCATGGCATAGTCATGAACCCGAGTTCGAGCCCTGGRARKGGAGTGTTGGCGACATTTAAGTGGGGCCATGTTTAGCCTCCAAATTTGCCGGGGATTAGTCGGGCTTTGGCCCGGACACCCTTACAAAAAAAAACATATTTTCATTTAAATCAGCTATCCTCACATAAATGCTTAAGTTTAACAATGAAAGGCATGTTCTAAAGAAAAATGGATTAGGAAACCTTAACCTTACAATGAAGCTGGAGTTGGCAACTCATAAAACAACTTTGGTGATGAAAACATGCACATCAAAAAGCATCAAAAAAAATTCATGAAAACGAGCCAATTCACATGTTGAGGGGAGGCAACCGATCAACTAAAATTAACAAAAAATCATACTATGAAATACCTGATTCTGTGAAATTGCATTCAATATTGCATCTTTCTCTTTGTAAGCAGGGAGACTTCTACGAAACTCTAGCATCTTGAAACCTTCTGAAGATTCCTATAACAAATGAACATTTTTCATAATAGCATTTGTAATTTTTAACATATCCAATCTTTAGATTCACATAATAAACTTTGGTGTGGCAGGATTCTGATATTCTGATATGTAACATTTTAACAGCAAACAAAGAATGACTAACGTCAAAAAAGATTTAGAACAATATAGTATGTTGCCAAGTTATACAAAAAAAACGATCATTTTATATATACCTGCCAAGCTCGTTGCTCAGTCTGCAGTTGCATGCTCCTTCGCCAAAGGACTTTCTCCATTGCAGCTTTGCTCTGTGGAAGCACCTCTGGTTGCTCAAAGAGTCCTTCATCAGTAGCAATGCTCCCGCTGCTACTTGTCCTCCAAAACAAATTATCTTGAGAACCCTTCATACTCCTGGCCTTGTGAGAAAGGTATTCCCTGAGATGAGCATCAACTCTCCTTTGCAACCCCTGAGATACGGACACCTGCTAATTCTGGAGACTTTCAGTATGATACATGTAAACATCGGCAATTAACAGGTTAATAACATATTAAAAGAAACTTGTATCAGCTTAAAATTACTAAGATAAAGATAAGGAAGACTGACACCTGATAGTTCTGAAGTTTTCCAGTATGACACCTTCAGATGTTTAAAGATGGGCGTGCAACATAGTAAAATCAAGGAACATGCATAAGCATAGACTTTTTTAACTGAAGTGGATAAAACAATTGATGTCCACTACTCAACTTATATTAAAATAGTTAAATAACAAAAATAAGTAAAAAAACAAACAGGTGGACAGTTCGGAATTTCCGATCATATACACGAGCTTTAGTAAGCCTATCCTGCTAACATCCTTATAACTGTGAAAAGAATTAAGCAAGCATGATTTGTAGGAATTACCTCCCTCTGTGGGCGTTTATCGTCCAGATCAAATCGATAGTTTGGCAAAGGAAGCTTGCTAACCACAAGCACTTTGGCATACAAATGGCTGCCAAGAATTACAGTCAAAAGGTTATTTAGTCAACAATACATAAAGAGGCACACACTAATTCTTAAAGTGATAATAATACCTATGCAAACCCATTCTAGTTGCCAGGGCTGCTATTTGGTCATAATCACGTCTGTCCTTTTTTTCCCTTGAAACCAGCTCTTGTTCATCCTTGCTGTGCACTAGTGTTGTTAGCCTCCACTTCCAAGAATCCATATCAGATGTGGAAGCACCCTGGAAATATTAAAAGAACATTAAAATACAACAGCAAGAAAACGCAGCAGAGATGTAGGAAATGCATGCCCATCAATAACCGCATGTGCGCACATAAGCTACCATTTACTAATTAGAAGACTTCAACCAACAAATTACAAATGCGTCATGCAAATGCAACTAAACAATGACCCACAAAAATTTGTTTTTTATCACTGACATATAAAAACTAAACTTATGTAAGACACAACACAGCAAACATAGCATATGACACAGAACAGAATCAAACAGATTGAACAACTGAAGTTGGAAGAGATAACAAGACCAGACCCTATATCCAGCAGTTTGCCATGTAAGCAATACACATCAGCACTTTATTAGATTCAAATGGTAACTGCACAACTTCTTGGTTCTAGAATTTATATACGGATACGGTTGCATTGCAAATAAGTTCAATTAGAACCCATTAGCTATATCATGCAATTTGACTTTCATCCCTGCCATTATAATAAGTGGATACTGAATACCAAACATTCAAAGCAGATAAATATATCACTATGTAACTTGCGAACAACACAATGGGAACTCATTCATACAGAAACAGATGATAAATTAAAGACAAGCAAAGGACTATAAAAGAGAAGCTTCTTATCAAGTAAAAGTCCAAGAACTCAAATCTTGCGGCCAAGGGACCATTTAATCGTCTCAATATTGGATGCTTTGGCATCAAAGAGCGAAAGGATCAAGATGTGATGAAACCAAACGCCTAGGATTTTATTCGAGTGGAGCAGGTTTTAGGCAATGTGCGTATCCCCTTCTTTACAACTATTTTAGAAGATACCACATAAGCATCGGCATTGTATTTATTGCAATATGTGAATGATATCCAGATTCAGACATCCAGGGATGTCAGAGTTAGATGAGTGAATAGTATCAGGTAGACATGGCCATCAGATTTAGTTGTATCCTCTCTTTCCAGGCTCATCTATATGATAGCTACTGTCATGTTAACTTAAGTAAAAGGGACCATGTTGAATTGACAAACCAGAAATCATCCGAAGCTCTATCCTTGAGGTATCAACTTTAAAGTTAACCAAGGGTTAGCCTACTTTCCAATTGGTCAAAGCAAAATTTAATGTTTCTTGCAGTGTCATAACCAATATAGGTGGTTCAAGGACAGGATTAGTAGATAACAGAGAACAGAAAAATAACAGTGTGACAACATACTGCTATGAAATCCCAACAGCAACTCATCCTATAGTCCTCCGACCATTTAGGGTATCCTGTGATGCTGTAACCTCTGTATGATTTCTTGAGTTCTTGCTATATTTATCATTGATTACTTTCTATGATTTTCTAAAATTGCACGCACTGATGCTACGTCCTGAGGGTTTTGTGAACCATAGAGTGTGAATATCACCTAAGAAAGACACGAAGATCCAATAGAACTGAGGAAACAAGCATACTACTAAACACTCAAATCTGTAATAAACTCAATTACATTCTTAGCTAAACTACATTTCTAAATTTCAATACACTCCAAGAAATAAAAACTCACGGTGGGAATAGAAGGGTCTAATCCGCGGTAGGTAACTTCTTCCGAGACGTCATGGACCTGTGATTTTTGGTGTTGTTGGTTGGGAGGCAAGTAAGGATAAGAAGTCCCTAAACTATTATTATTAGTGTGAGATGACTTAACAAAAGAATTGTTGGCAACAACAGCACGGGAAGTAGAGGAGATATCAGGGGAAGAGGCAGAGGAAGTGATGACGGAGCGAAGGCGGTGGTGGGGAGGCACATACACGGAGCCGTACGAAGACGTACGCGGTATATCCTTCATCGCCGTACTCGGTGGGGATAATGAGGTTTTATCAAGGGCTTTAGGGCACGAAAAGTGGAAAGTGGTGGCGTATTGCAGAAAAAGGAGTTGCATCCACACTTCGTTTATTAGTCACCGCGCCAAGATGGTGGTGCGTGGTGGGTAGATCGTCGGCAACGGCAGCGCCGACGTCGGTAACAGTAGTGGTGGTGCTGATTGATGGTGAATACGGTTGACTGTTGAAGAGGGTTTGGGTTTGTATTTTGCACCTACAATTTTGGTGCTCGTGTGAGTGAGATCTCTGACCGTATTATCTACGTTAAGTTTAGAGTTCATTACAGTTTTGGTCCCTGTATTTTGTTCAAAATTACGAGTAAAGTGCCTAAAATCCGTTTATTATGGATTTAGTCCTTGTGGTATTCATTTTGTTGGTCCCCTCTACGCTCTTAGCTGGTACCGTTCAAAATTGAACGTTAAATAAGGGGTATTTTAGTCTTTTTACTACTTACTTGAAAAAATCATATTCTAAGATCCAATCATGAATCGCCACATGACTTTTTACTTTGACCAGGTCTCATCAATTTTCACCGTCAGTAAATCTCTTCCCATCTCACCCCCCATTAGTTATCGTCATCGACTTCTATCTCCTTCACACCAACCCTCGCCCAATTGTATCCGATAAAACCCCTTTCCCTACCTATCTTCTCCGACAAACCCCTTTTCCCTTGTTACAAATTACAAATTTGCAGAAATTGTCCCAAAAACTCACGTTACCCGTAAAAATGTCACAAAATTGTTGCTTCCAACAAATCGCATATGGCGAGGTATTTACCAACACCCAAACCCTCTCCTTCCCATGAATCAAACAAATCCAACATAGATTACATTCCATACGAATCGAAACAAAGGGAAATCATATATGTCTGTGTAATTTGAGACTAAAAAAATACACTGGTAATGTTGCAATTAATTTCAAATATCATAGAATAAAATTGTTATTAATTTTACGAGGCAAAAAGAATATATAAATATATATATATATATATATACTAAAAACGTATTCGCGTAATGCAGCGAGATATATCGTGATTTTAATATTTCATTTTATTCTTTATCTCAGTCGATGTTATARTATGGTTTTATGTGATTTTGAGAAAGCGATGATGTTTTTATTTTTGAATAAAATATATGTTGGAAAATATCATAAAATTTTGACAAAAATATATCGATATTAGTATCAAATTAACTTATTGAAATTCCTCATTTTTTTGTGTAATTTTTTAATTCAATTTTTTTATAATTTAATTTATGTACAATAACGAAAATTTATATTTGGTTTAATAATATAGTTTTTTTATAAAGATAATAATTATTTATTTTGTTGGAACTCGATAATTATTCTAATTATATTTTAGATTTTTTAATTTTAAAATGAGATGTTCATCCTCTATTTGATTATGTTTATCCGCAGTTATTTATATGAATTTAAACATCGAGCTTTAATAAGTTGTA